ATGTCATTCGTGTGCAGGTGACAGGTCCACTTCGATGCCTCTGTAGGCTTGCACGGTACCTTGTGTCGCAGCAGCCGGCGGTATCCGTCTGCTGGCGTGCGTGTATGGACAGTCCGCTTTGGTACACTTGGCATCGAATTTGCAGTTGGGGTGAATGAAGAAGCATTTTTCAGCGAAGCGGCACTTGGGGAAAGCCCTGAAGGAAAGAAAATGAAGCGCGTCAGAAGCCGAAGTGATATCTGCTTATATTTGCCTTCACTGGGTCCTTAAACCCTGTGATGTCATCGCCGGGTCTCTGTGCTTTTCTATACAATGCTGGTGGGAGGGACTGACAGGGTGCTGTACATAGCTCCAGGCTGACATCCACCCATCAAGTCATTTTTAGATTTGCATAACTCCTCCCAAGAGCCGGCCCACTGCTTGCATCAGGGCTGAGGGTGTTCTATCACAGATTGTGACTGCCTTAGAATGTGTGACCGGTCACGTGATCACACATTCTAACGTAGTCACGCCCATTTTTTCCCGGGGTCAAAATGTGTGACCGGCAAAAAGGTGTAGAATTCAAAGCTTTCTCCGCTGTTCCAGGGCAGATCGGCGTCGCAGATGGTATGTCCAGGAGGACCGATCTGCCCTGGAACAGCGGAGAAAGATTTGAATTCTACACCTTTTTGCCGGTCACACATTTTTAGCCCGGGAAAAAAATGGGACGTGACTACGTACGAATGTGTGACCACGTGATCGGTCACACATTCTAACGAAGTCACAACCGGTGATAGAACAAGGGCTCTTTCAGCAAGCTATGTACAGCACCCTGCTGGACCCTCCCACCAGCCATGATCTGCCCGCATTGCACAGAGAAGCACAAAGACCCAGTGAGTATGCCACGGAAGAATTTCAAATAGCTCATTAGAATGCCGATATTGGGGGAGGGAACCAAGGAAGGCTAAATATAAGACTACTGAACACCGTCCACTTCTTCAGTGTTTTACATTGGTGGAGCCCTCGTCTGATCACTTACTTGCACACAGTAGTCGGGTGGTGATAGGCGCAGTGCTCTGCATTCTTGCATGCCGGCCAGTACTTGCAGCGCTCGTGGATCTTTGCCTTGCCAGAAACCGCAGCGGGCTCTGCAGAAAGTGTATAAAGTCAAATCATCTCCAATGGAAAGTGTTTTATAAGCCTGCCAACAATTCTAACCTGACGCAGATCAGAAGACGACAACTCGGCTTACAGGAAATGTCATCCCAAATCACTGAAATGTCAAATCAGCTTCAACATGTTCATATAATATCCCGTCATTTCAATCTTCCCAAATCTGCAGCAATCCTTAAAATAATCCCAGGTGATCCCGCCATGAAGGTCCTTGTTCAGGCACTTACTGTTATAGGGTGACAACACTCTGTCCCTGTCTTCCAGTTGTGCTCCTGCGTTGTCACCCTGTCACATGGGCTTTTATAGAGACTACAAGTGGATGTTTCCACACACATTATTATTATACAGGATTTATAGAGCGCCAGCAGTTTGAGCAGCGCTTTACAATATAAGGAAGACATTACAATCACAATACAACTCAAGACGGTAAGGAGGGCCCTGCCCCTGAGAGCTTACAATCTAAAAGAGGAGGGGCCAGTGATACATGAGGAGGGAGCTGTGTGGGGATGAATTGTTTGAGAAAGTGATGGTTGAGCGGTTAGGTTGAGGTGGGATCGGCTTCCCGGAAGAGATGAAGGCAGTCAGAGTGGCAGACAGACAACCAGGTTGGGTTAAAGAGTTCCATAGAATGGGAGACACTCTAGTGAAGTCCTGGAGGCGAGCATGGGAGGAGTTGATGACGGAGCTGGAAAGCAGGAGGTCTTGTGAAGAGCGGAGGGGACGGTTAGGGTGATACTTTGAGACGAGGTTGGAGATATAGTCGGGGGCGGAGTTGTGGACGGCTTTGTAAGTGTTTGTCAATATTTTGAATTTGAACCTTTGGGCTATTGGAAGCCAGTGCAGGGATCGGCAGAGGGGGGGGCGGGGGATGTATATGTCATGTGACGGGCCGTATGACGAGGCGTACCATTAGAGGCGTGCACATCCTGAGAATTTGGCTGCGTGAGATGGCTGCTGGGCGGGTTGTGAGGATCAGCGTACAGACCTTCCTCGGTGTAGGCCGGCGGATCCACCTCCATCTCTTCATCAGAGTGATAACCACGCGGGCTCGGCACCCCGTCCAGAGTCACAATGAACTTCGGACTTGCCGGCTTCTCCGGAATTATATTCTCTCTGAAATGAGCAGAAAAAGACAGTTTATGGCTCAGAATCTGAGACTCTGCTCTCCTGAAATACTCTGCTGGAGGACTCTGCTCCTTCCTCTATAACTCTCCTCTCCTGAAATACTCTGCTCTGCTGGAGGACTCTGCTCCTTCCTCTATGACTCTCCTCTCCTGAAATACTCTGCACTGCTGGAGGACTCTGCTCCTTCCTCTATAACTCTCCTCTCCTGGAATACTCTGCTCTGCTGGAGGACTCTGCTCCTTCCTCTATAACTCTCCTCTCCTGATATACTCTGCTGGAGGACTCTGCTCCTTCCTCTATAACTCTCCTCTGCTGATATACTCTGCTCTGCTGGAGGACTCTGCTCCTTCCTCTATAACTCTGCTCCTTCCTCTATGACTCTCCTCTCCTGGAATACTCTGCTCTGCTGGAGGACTCTGCTCCTTCCTCTATAACTCTCCTGAAATACTCTGCTCTGCTGGAGGACTCTGCTCCTTCCTCTGTAACTCTCCTCTCCTGAAATACTCTGCTCTGCTGGAGGACTCTGCTCCTTCCTCTATGACTCTGCTCTGCTGAGATACTCTGCACTGCTGGAGGACTCTGCTCCTTCCTCTGTAACTCTCCTCTCCTGAAATACTCTGCTCTGCTGGAGGACTCTGCTCCTTCCTCTATGACTCTGCTCTGCTGGAGGACTCTGCTCCTTCCTCTGTCTGGCTCTCCTCTCCAGATTGCTCTCCTACCTGGGCTGAATAAGCCTCCCAAGCTGCTGTGGCATGTCCGGTGTGGGAGGAGCCGGCATGGGGGGTGTCTTGGATACTTTCGCGCTTTTCAGGATGAAGGATCGGCTGTCCATGGGCCGAAGATTTTCCGTTTCTTCGACACCTGATACAGAAAACAAAGAGATGGAGAAGAGACGATGAGCGCTCCCCAATACGGACTCATCTCCAATGTAGACAGCTCGGCTGAAGTTTAGTGTGCTTGCATTTACCATTCTCTGGTGCTGAAATCCGTATGAGAAATCGAAGGGAATGTGATTGAAGATAGTTACCCGTTTACCATGGTAACTGCCAGTTCTGTTCAGTCAGACTTGCAATTTACACACATCTGCTACACTGCACAGCGAGGCGGGCGACGCTCTCCCTTTCTTCTTGCTTCAGCAATGCAACTTCCTGTGTTGACTCTCCCTTTCCTCAATACTCAGAGGGCAATGGATCTCCATCGCTGCTGCTCCCCAAATAACAGAGAGGCGATTCAGGAAACAGGAAGTAGTAAAGCTGAAGGATGATCTACCTGGCTGTGGTTTCTGGCAGGGAATCTATAAACCACAAGACTGGCTGAACAAAATGTCGATCATTCTTTGGCCGGTAAAGCGGTTCCCGTCTATGTACTTACATCCCTCTGAACCTCTTAGAACAAACAAACGTACAAACCTTGTCCCCAGGTTGTGCTCTCCTCCACCGGCGCTGGGTGCAGTCTGGAGAGGACGTCCATTCTACGCTCATCAACTGGAAGGACATCAAATGATAAAAACTGAAGGACCATAAATGCTTCTGATGGACTACGGGCTAAATATAAGACATGCGACGCAGCGTCACGGGGAAACCGGAATTATACGATTAGAAATATCCTTCAATGGCCGCCGGCTAAAAGGAGCTTGTTCTCACTTCCTCCCAGCAAGTGACAACGCTGCAACTTCCTTCCCCATATCAGTGTTGTCACTATTGGCCTCTGCGCTGGCTGGGAATACAGCGTGACGGTGCACGGGCATGAGCTTCTAGCAAAGCCTAGTCACATGATTGCCACTATCAGTATACCCCCGGCTTAACCCCGCCCAGTGCTCCCTAATCCCGCCCAGCTCCGCCTGCTGATACACCGCAATCAATGCAGATGATGAGAAATGCTAATGACTGGCGCATATAAAAAGAGGAGGAGCTGAATGACCCCACCCACAATTCACTTTATATGCGGGCAGAGGGAGCGTGGATTGGAGCAATGATGGGGCATTATTCCTCCTCCCACTGACACCAATGATGGGGAATTATAGCTCCTCCCACTGACCCCAATGATGGGGCACTATTCCCCCTCTCACTGACACCAATGATGGGACACTATTCCCCCTCCCACTGACACCAATGATGGGACACTATTCCCCCTCCCACTGACCCCAATAATGGGGAATTATAGCTCCTCCCACTGACCCCAATGATGGGACACTATTCCCCCTCCCACTGACACCAATGATGGGACACTATTCCTCCTCCCACTGACACCAATGATGGGGCATCTTAGCTCCTCCCACTGACCCCAATGATGGGGCACTATAGCTCCTCCCCCTAGGATGGGACACTATTCCTCCTCCCACTGACCCCAATGATGGGGCATTATTCCTCCTCCCACTGACCCCAATGATGGGACACTATTCCCCCTCCCACTGACACCGATGGGGCACTATAGCTCCTCCCCCTGCCCCCAGGATGGGACACTATTCCTCCTCCCACTGACACCAATGATGGGGCACTATAGCTCCTCCCCCCAGGATGGGACACTATTCCTCCTCCCACTGACCCCAATGATGGGGCATTATTCCTCCTCCCACTGACCCCAATGATGGGGCACTATAGCTCCTCCCACTGACCCCAATGATGTCTCCCGTAAGAGAAACAGCTTTGATGTCAATGAACACAATCCTTAGAGCAGGGCAAACTCTGGCCCTCCAGCTGCGAAGAAACTACAAATCCCATGAGGCAGTGCAAGAGTCTGACACATGCCTGACTCCCTAAGGCAGGTGGATTATGGGATTTGTAGTTTCACCACAGCTGGAGGGCCAAAGTTTGGCTGCATTCGCTCTCCGCTCTGTTGGAAATCTTCCTATGTCCCATCCAATAGCAAAAAAAGGCACAGACCTTGTCCCCAGGTTGCAGTCTCCTCCACTGGCTCTGGGTGCAGTCTGGAGAGGATTTCCAGTCTTTGCTCATCAACTGGAAGGACATCAAATATTAACAGGTGAGACATTAGAAATACTTATGTTGACCTTTAATCTACTTATATTTTACCTTCTCTGGATCCTCCCCTCCCCCTCATCAAGATGATAATGACATGATTAGAAATAAAAGCTGCATCTCTGTGCTTATCCATTCAATGCAGGCAAATTTTGGCTAGGGGGAGGGGCTGACAGGATAAGGGGAGAGGCTAGCGGGATGCGGTACATGGCTTCAAGAAAACAGGAAGCTGTGGCAACACCCACATGCGATGCTGAGCCTGAATGACAGAGAACTGAAATCCACTAAATGTAAGTGTAATCCAGTGATGCTGGACGTCCTCCAGCCAGGAAATGGGGCGGAGCTCTATCTGACTTGCTGCAGCTTCTAATGTACATTGTGAGAAGCTCCCAGTGTGCAGGAGAGGAGCCGGTACAACTGTGCAAGACTGAAGGGGAGGACAGAGGTCAGATAGAAGACTGGAGGGGAGGACGGAGGTCAGATAGAAGACTGAAGGGAAGGACGGAGGTCAGATAGAAGACTGAAGGGAAGGACGGAGGTCAGATAGGAGACTGAAGGGAAGGCCAGGGTTAAGCTCTGAAGAATTTAGCTGCGTCTGTACCTTGCCTGCTGTCCTGTGCCGGCACTTCCACCTGCTCTTGCTGATAACGTAACATGGAGGCTCTACTTTTCATCAGGATCAGCTCCTCCTCAGGGACCGGACGAGCTCGCGGAGCCACGGGAACCGTCTGCTTTGAAGGAACTTGGCGGGGACAAAACAGACAAGAAATATCAAAACACCCCCAAACCTGGTTATGAATTCAATAAAAATACGTCTTGTGTGTGTTTAGTTTGTGCGCAGAGCTGCCTCAATGTAATGAACATTATCGCAGTTGTAACATATAACGGAATACAAAGGATGTTCTTACACCAGTATATGTACCGGTGCCGATACTCGCCATTTTCACGACAACTACCAGGGTGGCAGCTATGACCGGGCTTTGGCTCTCTACCGCTGTCCTTATATCATTAGTCTGTATTGTTTTAGAAAAATTGTCACATGACAACAAAAATATATCAGCACTTGTATCTGTGAGGACTTGGACAAGAGTCAGTACTTGGTCTGGGAAAAATGGTATCGGTGCATCCCTAAAATATATATAAATAACCTATCATACATTACAACAGGAAAGCACAAGTCCCCGGGAGCCCCGTGTGCTCCTTACACATGACAGCTGGCTCTTAACGTTTGAGTTTTTCTCTCGTCCAGTCTTGGAGCTGGAATAGTATTAGTACTTGTATCATGTACGGTACTTGGTATCTCTGCATCCCTACTGAATACCTAATAAGCCACGCACTGACTATGGAGAAAGCCATTTTTTGTATAACAGGGCTGCTCGGTGCTAGTCCTCCTCCCGCTGACCTCAAGGATGGGGCACTATTCCTCCTCCCGCTGACCTCAAGGATGGGGCACTATTCCCCCTCCCGCTGAGCCCAACGATGGGGCACTATTCCTCCTCCCGCTTACCTCAAGGATGGGGCACCATTCCTCCTCCCCCTGACCCCAAGGATGGGGCACTATTCCTCCTCCCGCTGACCTCAAGGATGGGGCACCATTCCTCCTCCCTCTGACCCCAACGATGGGGCACTATTCCTCCTCCCACTGACCCCAAGGATGGGGCACTAGTCCTCCTCCCCCTGACCCCAACGATGGGGCAATAGTCCTCCTCCCTCTGACCCCCAACGATGGGGCACTAGTCCTCCTCCCACTTACCCCAACGATGGGCCGCTATTCCTCCTCCCACTGACCCCAACGATGGGGCACTATTCCTCCTCCCACTGACCCCACCGATGGGACACTATTCCTCCTCCCGATGACCCCAACGATGGGGCACTATTCCTCCTCCCACTGACCCCAACGATGGGGCACTATTCCTCCTCCCACTGACCCCATCGATGGGGCACTATTCCTCCGCCCCCTGCCCCAACCGGGGCAGTTTCTATTTCCAATGGCCACAGTCTGGCCTGCCATCCCTAAAGTTTTAACTGGCCCTTTGCCCCTGTCCTAGATCATCCCGTCACCTGTAGAGTAGCTGGTCGTTTTGGTAATAGATTCCTGAGCTTCAGATATGGCCTTTAGGATCAGGTTCTTGTTGGCTTGTTTCGAAGGAGAGAGCGTAGGCCTGAAAATAGATAAAACGCGTCAGTTTTACATGAAGGGATCATTCTCTTGTCACTTATTACAAGGACAACGTGGATCTAAAGTATATAATGATATAAAGACATTAGCAGAATTATATACATCAAGGCAAGACAAGTAGAATTTCACTGCGAGTATAAAAATCCCATTTTCTCTCGCTCTCTCTCATTGAGGGGCACAGGAAGTATAATAATAATGTCAGTATCATATCAGTATATTCATTGCAACATGAGGAAAACTGTGTATGTAATTACACATACAGGCTGCAAAATCCAACATATGAGCAGAACATTCAGACAGCTAAGCGACAAGACTGGGGGCATTTAAGGCACATTAAAGCAGAACTCCAGCTTGCAATACTGTTACAACCCCCTTATCCCTCCTCAATTATCTGCATGTATATCATAATAAATAGCTCAAAAACAATTTCATGGTCATGTGACCGCTCCATTCTCCCCCTTCTCTTCTCTTCAGTGATGATGGGCAGGGAGCATCTCAGAAGAACTTTTGCACACCAATGAATCACCCGGGTTAGAAGGGATTACATGTCCCATAGAACACTGTGCCCCTGCAATGAGGGGCCGGTACAAGCCATGTTTATAGGCATGTCACTCAGGGTATGGCAGTATTACTGGGTGGGAAACAAGGATGATAACTTCCCCAGTGACACCACCCACAACCTGCCTGGGTAACAAACACGTCACGGATGTAGTCCTCAGAACTAAATAGGGGCATTCATTTGGCAGACGTTGGAATAGGAAAAGTCTGTGCAATGAATACTGTTGCACAGCAAGAAGCTGAATGAGTCCCTAAGACAAGATGGGATTTTTATAAGAACATTACATCAATTTGGAAGTATGGGAGGACTGCAAGAATACGGGGAAGGCTGCAGGATAAAGGGACTTGAGCAATAGAAGTTAAAGGAGAACTATGAGGGGGGTGATTTTCACTCAGCCTCATAATCTGAGCCGACCTGTGACAATGAGACTGACACAGGTCGGCTCAATAGATCGGGAAGTAAGCGAACGCATACCGTCGCTCACACACTTATCGATCTATCTGTGCAGAGAGTGGTGACTGTCACTCACGGCTCCCTGCAGGGATTCCCCCCTCCCCGACCCTCCAGCGCTGACTGGCGGAACAGACAGGGGTGGGCACAGCTGGCTCTGCCTCTGGATAGGCAGAGCCAGCTGTCACTCACGCAGCTGGCTGGATCTCAACAGCAATGTTGGGATCCGTCCCGGCTGCGGCGGTCTCAGTATACCGCGAGCTGTAGCTTGCTATATACTGAGCTTTGGGTCACGGGAGGACGCTAGTTTGTGTTCTCCTGTGACCCTTAGGAGAAATATGGGGAAAAGCCCTGACCCCATAGTTCGCCTTTAAAGGAGAAATATGGGGGGGGTGCTTTTCACTCACCTCATAGTTCTAGCCGACCTGTGACAATGAAACTGTCACAGGTCGGCTCAATAGATCGGGAGGTGAGCGAACACATACCGGCGTTCGCTCACCTCTCAATCCTGTCACGGCTCTCTGCCGTGACAGGGGAGGGGCTGGGACCCCCCCGCTCGGATCCTCTAGCGCTGACTGGCGGAACGGAAGGGGGCGGGTACAGCTGGCTCTGCCTCTAGATAGGCAGAGCCAGCTGTCAGTCACGCAGCTGGGTGGATCCCGGCACAATTGTCGGGATCCGCTTCAGCTGTGGCGTCTCAGTATACCGCGAGCAGCAGCTCCCTATATACTGAGCTTAGGGTAACGGGAGGACGCTAGTTTGTGTCCTCCCGTTACGCTAAGGAGAACTATGGGGAAAAGCCTTAACCCCATAGTTCTCCTTTAAGTAACTACTGAAGGCAAAAGTTCACCTTGAAAATAATCAAACATTTTCTTAGACTACTATTAATCACAATCAGCAACAAGGCAAATTGGGTAGAAAGGATTGACCCTCAGAGAACGATGGGGCCCTAAATCTCCATCCTGATCAGAGTATCAGTTCCTATAGGTTGCAGTGGTGGCAATGAAATAAAATGGACATTGTGGCCTCTCTCTCTCTGGTGCCATCACAGTTCAGAGCAAAAGGCCGAACCCTCCTCTGATCTCTGTGATGGGACAAGGACATGCTAAAGAAGCAGGAAAGCTTTGTCTGGCTGTGCACAGTCCCGAGGTGGTTCAACAGACTAAGAAGCCAGGAGCTGTGAGCAGAACATACGATAAAACTGGCATTAGGTGACACAAGGTGATAGCAGACACCACTGGACCCCACACCCCGGCATCGGCAAATGTCCACTTTGCTCCCAGTTGGATTTCAAGCACACCTTCCTGCTTGTATCCTATAATCCCCGGAACCTCTCTATAGGTTGTGAATGACTCCAGTGACATTAGAATCTTTAGATAGAATACCTCCGCTCCGGTCTGGAAGGCACGGACACACTGCTGGATAAAGCAGCCGCCCGAGAGAGGTAAGCTTCCTCCTCCTCTTCATCTTCCTCCTCAAACTCCTCCAAAGTTCTCCTCACCTTCACCACCGAACTGGCGACGGGAATCTTCCTCTTCCGGGACCCATCAAACTGCAAAAACAGCAAAATGTTATACCGATCGGCCAGGTAAGAGGTCTGCCAGTCAGGGTGACATTATAGCCCATCGCAGACCCTGCCACAAGTTTTTATCTTTTCTAGCATTTTTTGTTTTTGTTTTACTCGCCTTAGTCCACCATCCATGTCCCCTACTGTGCCCGCCTCCATGTGACATCATCATGTCGCTGCAGTTTGTTGCAAGAGTACTCTGCCGCAGGAAAGCCAAAAGGAAGTGTCCATGTCACCTGGGAAGTGACGTGGACACACAAAGGACTCTAATCCTAGAAGACTGGACTCCTCTGGCTCCAACTGTGTATGAGTGGCTTCTGATCATACCCCCTCTGCTGGCGCTGCTGTCTCATTGGCAGGCTGCTCTCAAAATCCCCACCCCCGG